ATTTTTTAGGTCCATTACAATCTTATGAGACCACCATTTCTGGTGTATGTGGTCCTTTGTGAACTGAAACATCCTTACATGGTGCATGACTATATATAAAGAACTTATACAACTCAACAACAAAAACAAAACAACCCAATTTAAAAATGAGTAAAGAACTTGAGTAGACATTTCTCCAAAGAAGATATGTAAATGACCAATAAGCACATGAAAAGATGATCAGAATCACTAGTCATTAGGGAAATGCAATTCAAAACCACAATGAAATACCACTTCACATTAGGATGGCTATTATCAAAAAAATGGAAAATAAATGTTGATAAGGATGTGGAAAAATTAAAACCCTCATACATTGCCAGTGAGAATTTTAAAATGGTGCAACTACTGTGAAGAACAGTAGGTGGTTCTTCAAAAAGTTAAACATAGATTTACCATATGATTCAACCATTCCACTTTTAGGTAGTATGTACTATGCAAAAGAACTGAAAACAAGGACTTGAACAGATTTTTGTACACCCATGTTTATAGCAGCATTATTCACAATAGCCAAAAAGGTGAAAATAACCCAAGTGTTCACCAACAGATGAATGGATAAACAAAACATGGTATATACATACAATGGAATATTATTCATCCATAAAAAGCAATGAAATTCTGATACATGTTATAACATGCATGAACCTTGAAAACATCATGCTAAGTGAAATAAGCCAAATGCAGAAGGACAATGTTATATGATCCCACTTACATAAGGTACTTATCAATAGAATAGGCAAATTCATAAAGATAGAAAGTAGAATAGTGGTTTCCAGGGGCTCGGGGGAGAGGGCAATGGGGAGTTATTTAATGGGTACAAATTTCAATTTGGGATGATGAAAAGTTCTGGAGGTGGACAGTGGGGGTGGTTGCTCAATGATGTGGATGTACTTAATGTCACTGAATTCTATACTTACATGGTTAAAATGCTGAATTTATTTTAACCATTTAAGTTTCAACGTTATGTACATTTTGCCACAAAAGAATTTTAAGCCATCAAACGGAAAGTTGTTTTGAAGTTAATTAAGTGCCAACTATGCTCCAAGTCCTAAGCTACACACTGGGAATACAGTAAGGTCAACAAAGTCCCTGTCCACACCGAGTGCCCAACACAGAGCAGCCCCTCAGTAAAGAGTTCGTTTATTGAATTAATGAATAAAATATTTTAGACTGTGTTTATAGTGAATGTATAAAGCTACAGGTTACTTTTACAATATTGGGGAGGGGGCCGTTAAAAACCCAAAGAAGCAAAGTTAGCAAGGGTAGAATTAGAAAGGGTTCAGATATTCATTCCACTACAAGATAAAACGCAGTCTTTTTTATGGCTGTTGCTGTCATTTTTTATTTTTGTGTTTGCACTATTATGTTTTAAATAAGAACAAAGATATGTCGAGAAAAAGGAAAAAGACACAATGTTCTTTACAACTATTTTCAGAAAACTTCATGATTTTTGAAGAAGAGATGAGTGAAAATAGCTGAGATTTTCTTTCCCAAAAGGATTAAAAGGATGAATTGTATAATGTCCGTGAAGCATCTTGATCTCCACAAGCAACCTCGCAGATCCACTACAGGGAAGCAGACAGCCTACTTCCCTTTCAACTTCTGTCAGCTTTCCCCAGTTTCTCAGGCGATTTATCCTCCTCATACTCTCTGTCTAAGTAAGATTCGGGAGAAAATTTTGTTTGAGGCTTGAATTCGGCATCAGGCAAAATGAGATTCGGAACCTAGAGGTACTTTACCTTCTTTGAACTCCATCGTCGGTAAAAACCTTCAAACCAAAATGCTTCCTTCATTCCCTTTGCCCTCTACCCTCGTTGCTGCCAGAAAGGCATGGGATATCTGCAGGGGGTGGTGGCCTCCGGGCTTTGGCAGCTCTGTTCTTGTGGTTATTTGCACATGGCTTTGATGGCATTTCCCTTCCCTGTAGGTCGGACAAATAGGATTGGAGCAAGAGGGAAAGAGAGAGAAATCTGAGAAGTATTTCTATCTGTCCTGTGTTGATCTTCATGACTTAAAAAAAAAAATTACATGTGGTTGTTTTTACTCTTATCTTAAGTATCATGACTCTCCCCGAAAAGATGCATACCCCTACACAAAAATAATACATATTTACACACTTCTGCCAAGGATCAAGATCGTGTGTTCTGTGGGTTATACTTCATCCATCATTCCACCCTACACCCATGACCTTATCCTGATAATCTAGCAAATTTGGCTTTACCCCTACACTCATTCATTCAAATCAATACATGTGAAAAATAGAAATCCATGATTAAAGTATTGATGTTGCTCTAAGTGATCACAAGAACATAGCGCTTTGGCCTATTGATGTATTGATGTTAATGAGTCAGCTCAGAGTTTATGGGTCTGCTTTCTTCATTTTACCAAGATTGAGGCCAATATATTACAGCTAAAAATGTTTAATTCCAAAGCCCGGTTTCTAAAAGAAATACACTTAAAAATGAGAAAGAAAAAAAAAAACAACACCAAGATTACTGACTGGATTCTATTTCTAAAAGATTATGTATAGAGTTTATTTTAAGAATGAGACTTTTTTATTTTAAGAATAAGAACTTTAAATGAGGTAAGTGAAAACTCTTAGCCCAGAACCTGATACACATTAGGTAATTTATGAATGTTTTCATTCATTTATTAATGTATGTAATTAGCAATACAGCATAAATGCCATTTTCCCCAGTACCTTCTACATTAATCAGAAGGTAATCCCCTAAAATAAACTAAAACCTCATTTTATTTTTATCCACTTGGTGTATATCTGAAGCAATTGTACATACATCAGATACTATACATATATTAAAAATCATTCATTTATAGGCAGAGTTGGTTGCCACTCACAAAGCACAAATTGGGAGAAGAAGAAGGTAGCTCCCACCACCACCAAAATAGCAAACCCACAGTCTAGCATTTTGCCTGTTTTTTTGTTTTTTGATTTGAAGGTTTTTCTTGCCTTTAGTACAAAAGATGCCCTGAAACGGTGGTTTCTTAAGCCTATTAACACAGCCTGGCATATAGTAGGAAGTTAATGAAAATGTGTTGACCCCTTAAGAAGGATTAGCTAATGAACATTTTGATGAAGGGGTGGACGGTTCATGTGTGTCTGAAGGTCATACTTTATGGAAAGGAAAGTGCACCAGTGAAAAGGTGGGCACCACCGAAAACCTATTTCCCCAATCTCACAATTTTGCCAGGCATCGGTCCTAGACCGACATCATGGTCATGCAGCTGCTACCTTTCTCTAACCTAATGTGTATTCTAGGATGAAACATACAGTATCCCATGAAAACCAAATGACATGGGAGACACCAGTTGTTGTTTCTTAGACAGAATGGGTCAACTTCCCTCCATCTCCACCACCACCAGCCCCCTTTGCACCCATCACATTGCAGCCAAAGGGGAGCTTTTTAAAATTCAGATCTGGCCATTTCACACCCTGCTTTTGGAATAAAGTCCACAAGTCTCTAAGCAAATCTGCAAGGCTATGTGACCTGGTTTCTTTGGAATTCACCAGTTGCATCTCACATTAAGTCCCCCTCATTCATTCTACAGCCTCACTCTGGCTTCTCTCCGCTCCTCAATGTTTTCCATTTCACCAGCCCTTGCATTTGCAACCCTATCTAGTTCGCACAAGCCATGACCATGGCATCCTTACTCTTTAAGCCTCTGCTTAAATGTCGATTCCTCAGGGAAGCCTTTTCTGACCTCACCAAACTAGTTCAAAACCCTATTATACAGTATAACAATAGCAATGCCCTGTGCTGCTTCTCTTGTTCCAGTTTCCAAAACTGTAAAAAAAAAAAAAAAAGTTACCTGTGTAATGGTTTATTATCTGGCTAGGCCCCAGGTTCTAATCTCCATGCAGAAGGAACCATGTCTATCTTATTTATTACTATATTCTAAACCTAATATGATGTCCGATACATAGTAGATAGTAACTATTTGCTGAATGGATGAATAAAATTGTGGGGTCTCCATGGAGATGTTTCTCGTTTCTAGCAGATGTGGAGGTCATTAAAGGTGGCAGTCAGATTCATAGTTATCTGTCTTCTCACAATAAAGTAAATGTCCTAGAGGAGATGGAAGTAGATAATGGTTTTCATTACTGGAGAACAGGAAATAACTTGAGTTAATTGAGGCAGATGGTCCATGAACAATGCTTCAGAAATAAAATAGAGCTTCTGACCTTTGGTGATCAAGAAATATTACAAAGTTATATATGGGACTCACTTCAGCCCTACATCTAGATCAAATTGTTTCTAATAATTAATGCAGATCATTACATCTGTCTTTAACACTACAGCATCTTGGTGCTCTATGCCATCTTGGGAAGTAGCTCACATACACTAGTAGAACATTTCCCAGTTCATATCTCCTTTCCCCTCTTTATATTTTTCCTGCTTAGTTGCTTGAATTTTCCATGACAAATGTCTAAATTTGATGTGACTGAATATTAAGAAAAGTTTTCTTTTATCAAGGCTGATATCCACTCCAACATCCATAACCCTTGACTGCCCTTGTTATGCAAGTAACGAGCTATTGTTTTGTAATCATTCTGGGTACAAAAATGAGCTTAGTAGAAAAAAAAATTCAAGGAGCTGAGAAAACACCCAACAATACCCAGAACAGATAAGAAAAATAAATCTTAGATTTTATAGCATGTTATTATTTACAAAGACCTTTGGCATTCCATCTCTCTGGATCCTGACTAAAGATCTCTTGGCATTTAGTCACAGCAAGGCAGAAATTTTTACTGATGCAAGAACTGAGGCACAGCGTTTCTGGATCTAGGTCATGGATCTAATTAAGAAAGTACTGGAAACCAAATCTACATTTTTTTTGCCTTAATATGTGTTTGTAATTATGAGATCTATTTCATGTGTTAAGGGAGCAAGACAAAAGCCCAGAAGATGATTTGCAGAAACTTCTGGATTGACAGAGCTGAAGTCTTACTCTGCTTGGGAAACCCTCATCCTGCTGAAAATTTTCTTCATAGCCTCCTTTACTTCTTTGTTTCTCAGGCTGTAGATGATTGGGTTTAGCATGGGAATAACCACAGTATAAAATACCGACACAATCTTGTCTTCCCCAAGGGATCTGCCCATGTTACCTTTCAGGTATATGAATATGAGTGTCCCAAAGAAAAGAGCCACTGCAGCCATGTGAGACGCACAGGTGGAGAAGGTCTTAGCTTTGCCACCTGCTGCACGAACCTTCAGAATAGCCCGAATGATGAATAGGTAGGATATAAGAATCACTGAAATGCTGGTTGTGATGAGGAAGAAAGCTAAGATGTAGATTACCTGCTCCTGTGGCCTAGTTTCACTACAGGCAAGCTTCAACAGGGGTGGGAGGTCACAAAAGAAGAAATCTACGCGACTGGACTTGCAGAAGGAGATGGAGAACGTACACCCAGTGCGGACCACGGAATTGACCACGGCACCAGCATATGCCCCAGCCACCAGCCCCAGGCGAGTGTGTGGTGTCATGGCCGTGGCATAGAGCAGGGGGTTACACACAGCCACATAGCGGTCATAGGCCATCGCAGCCAAAAGGAGACATTCAGTGCTAGCACAGAGGGTGAAAAAGAAGAACTGGCTGGCACAGCGCTCATAGGTGATGACCTTCTTATCTGTCCTCAAAGTTGCAAGCAACTGAGGAACAATAACAGAAGAGTAGCAAATGTCCAGGAAGGAAAGATGGCTGAGGAAGAAGTACATGGGAGTCTGGAGCCGAGGGTCGCTCTGAATTAGCACGATCATGCCGAGGTTGCTCCCCATGGTGATGAGATAAAGGGCCAGAAACACAAAGAAGAGACCCATCTGCAGCTCTGCCTGCAGCTGGAACCCCACCAGAACAAATCCCGTAACCATGGTGCCATTCTCTGCCATGAAGCCAAGGTCATCTGTTGAAATTTAAAAAAAAAATAAAATGAAATCTCATTGAAGATAAATTCAGGTGATCCTGGCTTGACTTGATTGTTGCTCAGTGATGATAATGAACTTTTACATTTGTGAAGCACTTTACATTTTTCACAAACTTTATTTCCCTTGATGCTTCAGAAGTCCTTGGAAGCACATATTGTTAATCCCATTTTTGACAGAAGAATATGAGGGTCAAAGAGGCGAAGTGACCAGTTCCAGATTTCACTATTAGTAAACAGGCAAAGCCTGGGCTAGAACTCAGTTAGGCATTTCTAAACTGCTGTCGGGTCCCAGATTGGAAACCTAGGTCAGCCTCAGGCAGAGCCAGAAAACTCTTTGTTGGAGAAGCCACAGCGGTGTAGTGTTAAGGACATGGGCTTTGAAAGCAGACGTAGGTTTAAATCCCTTCAGACCTTAAGCAAGTTAATTAACCTTTCCTGAACCTCGGCCTCCTTCTTGGTTAAATGGGGATCATAATGCCAAAGTCACAATATTATTGTGAAGGACCTCATTTATATAGTGTATGTTGCACAAAGTCTGACTTACACTTAGAATTATACTAAACATTTTCTAAATTCTGGGATAATATGAGTGACATACTCCTAGGTTCATATACATTCTAGAATCATCTTATCTCCAAGTCCACAACCTCCTGGAGTTCCAAGATCAACTCTACCTTTTGGGTATTGTTTTTGATGTCCACATGAGCACAATGGATTTGGGTGCCAGACAGTGAACCATGGAGAGCAAGCACTGTTAGAATCTCTGCAGCCTGTTGCCTGCCAAGTTGCTGCTTCTTCTCTGTTCCTGCCAAACAGCATGGCCTGATTTCCAAGCTCTGCTATTATTCCAAAGGACCTGTCCCATTTTTTTTAAATGCCACGTCATTATCAATCAGCGAGATACATGAATCAAGCCATTCCAGAATTAGCCTGCAAAGCTCATTAAGGGACAAAGCATCACACTGAGTTTAGAATTCTAATACAGATGGGTTCTTGCCAGGTATTCGGACAATTCCGTCTCTGTGCCTTTGGATGCTGATGATTGGGTAATGAAAATAGTGAATGTGAAATTCAGAGGTGATCCTTCTTGTCCTGTTTCCATCCTTGAAACAAAAACTGACTTTGAGAAAGATCTCATAGGACTTCAGATAAATAACAAAGTAAAATTTGGATCAATGTTGGCAAGAGCTGATCTAATGATGGAATAAAGGTCAGCATCTGGTGGTTTTTCCCCCTCACTAAATTTTTGATAGTGTAAATATTTAGGTTGTTTTCCTATACTTAGGGCCAAATCGTATCCTGATCTTCTCCCAAAACAATGACTTGCTGTGTTCTTAAGAGGAGTTTGTGCAAATCATTCTGACCAAAGGGAAAAAAAGAGGCTATATTTATTTATTTATTCGGTAGGAATCTACTGAGAACTTACCACGCACCAGGCACTCTCCTAGTTGCTTGGAACAAAACAGAAAGAAATCCCTGCCTTTGTGGAGTGGTAATTCTAGTGGAGCCAGGCATGTACAATATATGTTTAAAAAAGAAGAAAGATATTCTTCTACCATGATAGAAGATAATAAGTGCTATGAAAAATGAATACTGCAGGGTGTGAGGAATTAAAAGTATCAAAGTAAGGAGAAGGGTATTAAACAGGACTGTCAAAAAAGACTCATTGAAAAGGTGACATTGTAGCAGATATTCTAGGAATCAGGTAACTATTTATATTTATTTGTGCACATCATTTATCCGTAAATAATAGAATATAAAGACATAAATCACCAGCAATGGACCACCCTGCTCTCATTAAAAAATATACGGAGCTTTTCAGGTTCTTGTGAGACACCTTCGAGGCCACTTTGCCCAGCAGTGTTAGCCTCCTGATAGCAGAGAGAAGCCCCCAAGGTACCAGAGGCTCTGTGATCAACCTAAGATCACCCAGCGTAAAGGTAAGGCTGGAATCCCAGAAATCTAGCACAGTGGCCAAGAAAATAGGCCCTGAAGACAGAAAGAGCTTGTTCCAAACACAGACTCAGTCATTTCTATTTGTTTGACCTTGGACAAGCTATTCGACCTCGAGTGTCTCAGTTCGGACATCTAGGCAGCAGCAGTAACAGCCCTGCTGTGCTGTGAGAAGGAGAAGATATCATGAACAGAAACAGCACGCGCCGTGCCTAGGACAGAGTAAACATTCAACACGTGCAGTTGTTACGGAAGTGATCCTTCAACCACTACGTGGTTCAGCCACTCAGAAATTTAATTTGTCCCCACTGTATTACTGAGGCTCAAAGTAGGTAAGCCATTTTCCCAAGACCGCAAAGTTAATAAACGGCACCAGGACTTCTGGCTCCGAATTCACCGTGCTTTCTGCTCACCTGCACCATGGCCCATGACTTCGGCCTGGGACCTGGGACGCTGCTGACCAGCTTCAGGCAGCCCCAGCTGGGGAAGCACAAGTCCGGAGACACACTACGTTCCACCACCGCCCTGAGAGACACTTTTGGTCTCTGCTAGGGAGGGGAAGAGCTATTTTCCCCTGGGGGGAGAGGCATGGTGGGGCATGGCAGTGGCTCGTGCTGGGCCAGAGACAGTATGTGGTAGGAAGGCTGCGAACAGCACCTGGAGGCCTGAACTCACGTCTGGGTGCTGCCACTGAAGCAGGAGCCTCCCATCTCTGGGTCTGCGTCCTCACGTGGAAAGACTGCACTAAAGGACCTCGAATGCTGCATCCTGTGCTGTAACATGGTGATCTCTCTTCTCCTCTTAAAAGCCCAGTGGGAGAGGGAAAAAAAATCTATTAATGTTAATGACAGGCATTACGAGAGTACTCACTGTGTACTAAACACTGTTCTATGTAATTTATGTCAAACTGCCTCGTTTACTTCTCACAACACCCCAACACAGGACATATCCTTGTTACTCCTATTTATAGACTGGGAAACAGGGGCTTGCAGAGCTTAAGCAACCTAGTTTAGGTAAACCCCTAAGCAGGAATTTGCAAACTCTGTCAGACTCGAGGGTCAGGCTCCCAACCACTGTCTCATGCCTCCTGAGTACAGTAATAAGGAGAGCTACCACGTAGTGAGCACCTCTTTTATGCCCAGGACTTCGCTGGTGGCTTTTCATACCTTACGCTCTTACACTTGGGCAAGGAGAGAGGAATATAAGTTAAATAAAGATTTTAGCAAATGACCCCAGCTCTGAGTTGAAAACACCGTGCATGTCCTCCTTTTCATAGTGTCATTGTTATTCTTTGCTTCTTGTCTGCAGGGATGGGAGGCTTGAAGAGATGCTCACGGCTGTCGTAAGAATCCAACTCTAATGAGGAGTCTGCGCCCACCAAGGCCCGTGGTCTCCGGCATGGGTTTCAGTTTTGAGACAGAAGTCGTGGCAGCCAGACTTGCTCCCGGCTCCTCGCTGTCCTCTGCCCACCTGCACTTTCCCTTTGCCCAAATCTCATTCCTAATTTTTAATTTATTTTATCTTGCTGCATGTCATGCATTTTTATAAGCCACTTCAAGTCTCTCTTGGAAAGCGCTACTGATGAATAAATAAATACAAAATAAAATTGCCCGTTTGCCAGATGTCAGGATAATCAGAATAATCAGCCATATCAGCATCAGACCAATAATGGTGCCGCCAAAGGACTTTGCCAAATGGGTTCTGGAATGACAGGGCACAAACAGTGGCTCAACCTAAATCAGGCTGATTTGTGAATGATGGAAAAAGGGAGAAAATGGAAAACCTTGGGGAGGTCTCCTGGTCTCTAAGGCTATAGCCAGTTCCTGAAATCTCTGTAAATCAAAATCCCAAAACAGCGACTGGGACTTTCATTTTGAGACAGTGAACAGCATGAAGGGGGCTGGGGAGAGGGTCTCCTAACTCACGGTACACTCAGCGTGATCCTTCTGGGCATCAGCTACATCCATTTTGCAGTCGGGAGAGGAAAATTTTAAAGAAAACCAAGATTGCCCAGTGGTTACTGATCTTCAGAGGAGCTAGAAAGTTTGACTATCTCCAAAAACAGTTCTACCCTGCGTCGTCTAAATTCCTAAACTGGTCCAGAATGATTTATAATCCTAGATAGAACAGCCAATCAAATTCTAGACAGAACAGCCAATCATTAAGATTAGGGAAAACAAACAGTATCTTCACAAGATCTCCAGGCAGGGAGAAGAAACATGAATCCATGTGGCCTCAGAGGAAAATATTTGGTCCCAGGCAGTTTAGATAAACTAAGTTTCTGGGAAAGCACGAATAGAACACTGAAGCAGCAATTTCCTGTTTTTGAAGCCTACAAAATAGTTGAAATTGCTGGCTTTTAAGGATGCACAGAAATAAAGTGAATCCTTAATGCCATCGTGAACCCACCACGTTCCACGGCATTAAGAACATCAGCATTTAACGTTACCGGCGATCTGTTATCTAATTGTCATTCGGGCACAGAAATTTTTCACTTCCAGACGAGCCTCCCCTGGTAGACCCCTGTAACTCTGAGTTATCTTTTCCCCACATTAGTTATGTCTGCCCAAGGCCCACAGCCTCGTTTCTACATCAGCCAATGGTAAACACACCCGGGATAGGTGATACTCACACATTCCAAGACTGTAGGAGAAAGACCTCGAGATTGTCTGCTCTTTGAGATTATTAATGCTCCCCAAACCCTGCGCCGAACTTCAGAAAACTAATGGGGGTTTCAAAAACGAGAAAGTCCAGCAAGCTTTAATAGGCTCCATCTGTCGTCTTCGAGCAGAAAAAGCACTGGGCTAAGAACCAAGAGGCTACCATGGATCAAACAAGAAAATGCATGGGCAGATGATTATAAAAGTAGAACGTTTGCACTTGCGAGGGATTGCTATAAGTGCCTGGAGATCAGCTTTATAACAGTACATACTGTGGGAAATATATAGCCGGGGATCTAAAGAGTATTTATATAGCTCAGCAAAACTAATCTACTTAGATCCTCCAAGTCAG